CAAAAAAATGGCCCCAAATGGAAGGTAGGTACACCTACTGTACTGTATTATGGAAGGTATTACATAATCACACCTACTGATCATAGGTAGAGATATAAATTTGGGGATTTTCTAGTTTTTTTTTATATTTAAAATATTTTAATTTTACCTCAGCCTCAATTTGTTCTTAATTTGTTCTTAATTTTTGAGCAATTTCAACCTCATTGTTCTTATAAAATGTGTTCTTATAAAAAAAAAAAAAAAGAGGACTGTACAGTCGGCCGGGCTCGTAATACTGAAAAACTTTATTAGTCAGCCGCAATAGCAGGCCCTAATTGAGTAAAATTACAGATCAATTGCAAAATATGTTTTATGTGACTGATAATATAGTCACATAGATGACATAATAAATTATCAGCCATAATCAAATGTAAAAATATGCATAATCATAATGTTCTTTAAACTATAATAGTGTAAATACTGTAATGCAACACACAGTTGTCCAGAATAACAATTGTAATCAATGCACAACTAGAAAATATGTAATATCATAATTCACTACTAATTGCAATGCAAATAGAAGCACAACTGAAAATGCAATTGTTTTATTCCAGGAACTGAGGAACCATCTCCTATAGGCCTACATACTCATCCACTACACAGCATACCGACTACAACTATACCTCTCTTGGGTCCAGATTCCCAAAAGACGTGCCATGATGATGAGGAGTCCGAAAAGCAACATAGTAATGTTGAAGAGCTAAACACTAGCATCCAAATCGAATACATCAGTAGTGGTGGCACAATAGCTCTACAGGATGCAGACGAAATGATTACAAGACAACCTGACAAATGTGTCGAAAGCCTTTACAAAAAAGCTTTAGAATGTTCTGCAGGGTTTTATTATGATGACCTTGATGTGGCTACAACTGATCGCTTGGAAGTGTTGCTTAACCCACACCCAGATCCTAAACCACCAATTAAGTATTGGAAACACCTGGCAAATGCAGTTGGTATTAAGGAACAGGCAACGCTAAATGCTATGGGGTCGTACAAACATTTTCATGGTTTTCTACTAACAAAATATGTGCCGATGCAGACATTTTTAAAAGCACTGCAGACAGTTGAAAACCATCAAGCGACCAAAGTTGTCTGTAAGACAGTGATTGAGATGCATGAGAATACAAATGAAATGGTTTAACATGAGTGATGGTGAGTTTAGATTTGTTAATGCGAAACTTCTTTTATACCTTGCTTTGAGAACAATTTGACCACCAATAAATGGTAATTCAAATTAAATAAAAAATACACCCCCCCCCCCGGGAAGCAT